CAATAAATCAAGCTGTTGATTAGAATTAATTACACTTTTAATTTAGTGCTTTCATATCAGTCCTTTCTAGTGGAGAAGAGTTTATGAGGATTTCTCAAAATAAGAGTACGAAACTTTGTAATTGTCTTTTACTTCAAATTTCATTGGATTATAATCAAGAGGTCAACATCATATCACTGCAAAAAGTAGTAAAAATAATGCGGTCATTCAGATAATACATATAAAAGATGCTGCGAGCTCACCCATGTTTGAAGCCGATTTTGGCTTTCCGGTCAGACCCATGAATGGTTGATTGCTGGTAGCGTAACCCTGGTGGTGTATTGGTAAAACACGTACCCGGTAAGCATGTAACGAGGGTTCATCTCCCGAGTAAGGCTGAGTTATTGCGTACCACTCAATATTCACAGATGCATATAAGAAGAGTGGCAAAACAAGATTTTGCATGTTAAAAAAGAAGGCAAAATTGTATGATTGATAGAGCAATAGACTGATGTTTTGGTCAAAACTAAGTAGTACAGGGCACATATTTTGATTAATACAAATTAAAAACACAAACATATTTAATAGAAAAAGACGTGAGAAAGAAACAATCGAGTAGCTAAGCAATATTAAAACAATTAAAATAGAAAGTTGTCGCTGGGCCTTATGAAAGAAGAGAGGAGATATCTCCGACGTTGATAAATCTTAAGGAACGCACCATGCATTCGACATCGTTAAGCATCGTTTCAGATGATCAAAGGCTTGTGTGACCCATACAATAACTTACACTAGCCTGCCCAATCTATTAACTCAGTGTCGCTACCTTAAGAGACAAGTCTGCTATCAGTTCGCCGACACCAGAAGGATGGAAGGCTTGGTGAACGCAGGATGAAACCGAGAATGTGTGTATTTCAGAACACTCGTAACTAGCGCGCTATACATTCACCCTTTCTGCCTAATACCAAGCTGTGCTAAAATTACTGTCAGTCTCCAACTTTTTCTGGGATTACCTACAATATTGCAAGCTGCATCAGCCGGACCAGAGAGAGAAAGAATGATAACCAATCCTTCGACAAGAAACTAGAAAGACAAAAAAAATTAGTTACTTTCCCGAAAATTGATAATATGGCGAACGGCAACATGAAAATATCAGGCAAGATTAGTTTCTTGATTTTTCCACTATCAAACGACTTTTATTTTCACTGACACCACTGGCACTACACATGTGGTCGATGAACCTGATAGATGGATAGCTTGTAGAATCCCTATGAATCTTCGGAGAAAAACATACTGACACAGACAGACAGACAGACAGGTATATATACACCAACACACGCATATGCACTCGCACAAGCACAGATATATATGTATATATACATATATATATATATATATATATATATATATATATATATATATATATACCAATTCACACACAGACACTTGGTTACAGACAGATAGACAGGTGGACACAAGGACAGAGAGACGTACACGCACAGACAATTGAGACATATCCATACATATTGAGATACACACACGCGCGCACATACACACAAATCTCAAGCTCATGGGGATACCACTAAGCAGAAATTCTTAGCACTACCATGAAGCTATTGCGATGTTATCACTATTGCAATGGCATTAGAGCGGTCAGAAATAAGAAAGGAATCGCTAGGGGCAAAATTCGAGCAGAAATCTAGTGAAGCCCCACGAACTTTCACTAATATAGTGCTACCAAAAGTGAGCTCGTCTACAATCATTTAGTGACCTAAGGCCATGCTCTTGACTTTTTGGGAAGTCTTAAATCTGTCTTAGACTCTTGAAAAAGCTGTTCTCGGATTATCACCGCTTTCACTTATCAACTAACTTTTGTGCAGAGCTAAGTGGTTTGCCACTTGATACGTGGTTTCTTTCAGAACGATGGAATTCCTCGCATTCAGCCAGCACCTAGCCTAACTTTCAAAGTAAACTCGTTCTCACTTTGGGAAATTCAATCAGTTAATGAACTTCTCGCTATACATCAAATCTTAACATTCGTAAGCACTTTTCGTGCCCGAAGAACAATGTTTAGATACGAAAAACAGTAAGCTACTGAAATTAGCTCAGCGATCATTCAAATGAAACAGGTTTTTGATTGGTAGAATGACTGTCAATAAATCACAGACATGTTTTTTCACTCTGATTACATTGTAAGAGATATTTCTTGTTTGCTGAACAGCAGTATAAGATTATATTTAAAAAGCAAAAAATTTTGTGTTTTTGCTAGTTATAAATCATTTATTACAGTCTTTTAACCAGCCCCTTCAGCTATTTCAAGTCATTGGTTTCTTCTTCAACACTTTTGAGGTATTTTCTTATCATTTTTCTAAAATCGAGTACTTTTGTGTTTCAAAATTCCCCACTGATTTTTGATGAGAAAAAAATTATCGGAGGCATATTATTGATATTGACAAGAAACACTCACACACTTTAGGTAAGGCTATTTAATGGAAAAATAAGCTTCAATTCACACTTCACATAACACCGGGAATCGCAGGTGAGCGGAGTGTATCAGTACCTATATCACTGGTAGAGTTCCGTACTAATCACGATGCCGATTACTCAAACTATGAAGTTATTAACATTAATTTGTCTTCGATACCTTACCCTACCATGACAAGGGGCCCTTCTACAATCTTGAACTGCAACATACAACAGAAATTCCATTCCTCTTTCTGGACTACTCAAATGACGCTTGACGTGGCCACTGCAACACCCATACTAGTGAAGAAAGAAGAAAACTCTCGTTGTCGATAGATTCCTGAGGGGTGCGCCTTCATTCGACTTTACCATACATCGTTGGAGGTTCATGTGTGCAAGTCGGACCCATACAATGACCTATGGTAGCCTCCCGATGTATCATGTGAATGCTGTTATTCTCCCAAACAAGTCTTAGGTCAAGTTGCCAACAGCAAAGAGATGGAAGACTTGGAGGACTTGACGAACCTTGAACGCGGGATTGAACTAATGACCACCTATGTGTTACAGAGCACCTCTAGTCGCTGTGCTACACGCACCCAGTTACCTGGATAAGTCAGAAATTTGACAATATATAAGAATAGAATATGCCGAACGCTGTTACGGTGGGTTTACGAAGTCTAAAAAGCAGTTGAATCTAAGGTGCAATGTCTGAGAATAACTGGCGTATACCCTCGACTGAAAAAGAATAGTGATAGCGTAATAACACAAATTCACGTTTTCTCACCGTAACAACGTTTCCCTGTCCTTATTATCAGTAGGGGACCTGCAGGGAGTGTGGCTCTGATGAGGCGGACCACATCACTGTAACTTACGTAAACCAATAACGTACGAACCTCAGAATGGCTTAGAGTATGCTCGCTGACTATACTGAATGCTCATTACGAGGTTTCATGAACCAGCCGAATGTGAGGTGCTATTATTAGACTTTAGCGCAAAAGGTCTGCCCGATAAGCTAAATTTCAGCCCAATCGGCAATTGAGCTAAACTTGCACGATATTACAAAGAAGAGTCATCTAATGTTCAAGCAAGTACCATATATTTGGTAGATTATTTATTTCTGATTGAGTGTGTTCATATGAGAGATAAAAACGAACTTAGCACTTCAGTCTATTTATCTCTGTAGTAATCACTGCGTGGAAAAGAAAAGGTCAGAGATCGTAACTTACCAACACTTGCGTTTGGTTCACCAGTATTGTGCTCACATAGAAGTTTTACGACGACTTGGTCCTGCGTCATTAGTGAATTCTGAGGTCGTTTTGGTATTTAAGTAGTCAGCGATCTCCGTCACTAAAAGATAGATATCGGTCATAAAAATTTGTGACGACGTTCTGATCAAAAACAACGCGTAAAATAAACTAAAGTTCAAAGAGTAGTGACAATCAAACCAAAGAGCAAAAGACTGATATCACAACCAAAGTGCACAGCACTGATTCCGATAGTTCATACGGCTGAATCTCAGAACCTCGTCTAACTTGTTTCGTAGGGTGTTCAAATGTCGGTTCATGCCCGTAATGCACGAAGTTATTGAGTGATTAATAAAATTTCAATACGATTTTTATTAAATGACCCATCGACAAATCTACGACAACCGTGCGGATTCCAGTATTTCTTGTACTTGATTTGTGTCATCTGATCCACCATCTACAAAGGCTTTTGAGAGTTTTGCGAGTAACTTCATCTGCTGATTACGATTTTCTTCTTTTGTTTCGAATATAATCAAATAGTGGTCGATGATCTTCGCTGGACCGCTGAGATAGACGTGCTTGGACGATCCCATGTTCACTAGAGGAGGTAGCTTGCCACAAACAAATCTCGCAAAAATTTCCCGACACTGTTGTAAGTAGAAAGGAGTGGTTTATTCGAAGCTGTTTAGAACAAGCGCTTAAATAGGTCGAATAGCCCGCATAATGAAGAGGATCACTACAATTGTGCTTACTCTCATTTCATTCAAAAACTTGGATCGAGAAGGAGTACTGCAAACCTGCCTATTTGTGGATTTGTACAAATAGGAGGACACAGTACCGTAAAGTGGATTTTAAAGAATTCTGATATATTCTATTCTAACGTGTTGACTCCCGTCATTTCTACTCTATGGTGTTAATTCTGATATTTTCTCATCTAGGGGAGGTTGTGGCCCAGCAGTTGTAATGTTCGGCGCAGCTCTGGGACGGTACTCACTTCCAACACTCCGGCAGTTAACAGCGAACGCCCTGTAGAACGTTACAACCAATCTATCAATCAGTATTCTACGACGTTCAAGGAGACAAAAAAGAGTTGAATGGTGGAAGTATGGGGATGGATTTAGTTCTCAGTGGTGCTAATCTTATCGACTCGCATTATCCGTTCGTATATGAAACACCCGGTCATAAAGCTTCAACAACATTACTGCGTCGTTCACTTCTCAGTGCTTTGTTGCCGAAATGCAACGTTAGTAGTGTGAACGGATTTTTGGTATTCGTCGGTTATATATCCGAGGACTCTGAGTGGTTTCTAAAACTTCGAACCTCAGGCGAAAGTTGAGCTCGCATTTCACCCATACCGAGGACGCGTGCTACCACTGAACCACCGAGGCCACCTCTCTACTGCCACTCTTTCTTCGATACAAGGCATTATTCGATGATTAAATTTCTTTAGCACATAAGAGCATCGATGCCTAAATAAGTGTTACTAACGCATCTATGCGATTAAACTGCTTCAACATTTAAGAGAACGGCCTCCCAAATCCTTGTTGCTAAGAACTCTTTATGGCGTCAAATTTTTGGCGCACTTGTAAGTAATTATCAACACAAATCGGTCACTATGTTTACCCACGCATAAATGGATGAACAGTCTTTCCGGCCTTTATCTGTTAATTTACCAACCCTTTAGGGACGGTAGTTCATCGACCACACAGCTCGCAAGACGCGCACAATTTCCGTTATTTATTAGGGCTCTTCCTCTAATCGGAAAATAAAACATTGGTTATCCTTCGTATTATTCTGATATTCCATGATTTTCTCTACAAGCTCCATGTTTCTCTTGCATGTATAACTTCTCTGTACGACAAAAACTTTGAGTGAGAAACGTAATCTTCTTTATGCTCTTATAGCGTGCTATAATAACCCTTCAAAAAACCAACTATAGCACCGGAATCATAGAGATTTGGGCTATGGAATGACTAGTAAGGGTTTGGTAAAGATAGACACCACAAGCCCCTGCCGAGCAAATAAAGCAAATTGGAGTGTAGAACATGATTTATTTTTGCTGCTACTAATAAAAAAAGAACTGTTCAAAAATCAAATGATGGTGAAATCGCACAAAAATTGAGTCTAGAGAGACAACACACGTTACCAAAAAGCACCTGAGAGAGAAGTTTAGTTACGGAGAGAAAGGCTTCGAGCAATCGTGTGCCATGGATTGGTACACGTGTCATTTCGGGTTAATTATACCAAAATTAACCGAAGGAATAACTACTTCGTTTGCTGTTATTATTATTTTTCGTCTCAACACCTGTGCTTTGCTCAAAATAGTACAACAATAAAAATACTTGTACAGATATGAATACAAAATACTAAATTCGTAGTTCAACAATCCATCTCCACAGTATCCAATGATATCGCTTTCAACTGCGAGATTTGATTAAGAGAGCCTCTAGAATACTAAAAAGTATAACACCATAGCGTGGTTGCGTATTCCAGCATATTGAATGATATGCAAAACATTCAAAACTCCTCGAAGATAAGTCACACACTATGAATACCCACGAGTCATATACAGATTTGAGGACCTAGGATCGGAGGGTCGAACCCGCATTTCCACCTATATTGGGAGCGCGTGTTACCACAAAAACACACCGACGTCCGGCTCTACTATCACTGTTTCCGGTCGGTTCTCGCTTCCATGAGTTGGTGCCATTAGTGCGCTCAAAACCAAGGCCCGCTTGACAGTGCCTACTGCGCTCGGTGCCTTTCATCGCCAGAAAGAGTTGATAAACAGGAATGTGGTAGTCTCCGTGGCTGCTACTGGTAGCAACGAGCCCGGCATGAGTCGTAACGCTGGGTCAACTCACGTCTAAGATCGAAAGCTGTGAGATCGCTCAGTATTCGTGGTATAGAATTATATCATGATACATTCAGACACTTTATTGAATCCATCTTCACAGTACTCTATGAGGATCCCAGACTTCTGCATCAATTCGTTTTTTCCCTTCTTCTTGAATGTCGTCGAGTACTGGTGCTCGAGTCTACCTTTACATCTCGGAGGCTAGCCAGGCTGTGGCGTTCCAAGAGGCCTGCCGGTGACTTGCAGATGCAGAGGTGGGAGGCAGAGCTAGCCCGCGCGTGCCGCTTCCCCTGAGCATCACAACCACTTGACCATGGCGCCCCATATCGTGATAAAAAAAAAGGATAAAGCTCTGGCGGCATCATTCCCTGAGGGATGCGCCATGCATTCGACTCCAATTTCTAACTTCGTTTTGAGGTGATTGAATGCACATCTGGTCTTTACAATGACTCGCGGTGGCCTCCCGCTGAACCGAGTCTGTGCTACTTATCCTCCCAGAGAAGTCTGAGACCTGTCTGGTACCAATTTACCGACCCCGGAGGGATGGATGGCTTGGTGAGCCATGAGCGCGAGATCGAACCAGTGACCTCGTGTGCGACGCAGGGCACCTCTAACCACTGCGCCACACGCGCTCCTCATATCGTGACTAACACTGCCTCAATAGTGGTGGAGTAAAAATTCGTGGATATCACCACACTCTCGTTCGTGGATTCTTCGCTAGATGTTCCTGTATCAAACATGAACGTATCAGGAACCTTTCTGATCACGGAACATGCGCATTTATCTTCAGCATCGAACACTTCGTTATCGCTTCGGAGAATAACAAACAAAGCTCACGATGCATGACATTCCCCCGGGATGCGTCATGCATTGGACTCCATTCGTAGCGTCGTCTGAGGCGACTGAATGCCTAGCTGCCCTCTTACAATCACTCACGGTGCCCTCACCGATGTGTCAAGTCAGCCCTGCTATCCTCCCAGACAAGTCTCATACCAGTTCACCGGTCGCGGAGGGATGGAAGGCTCGTTGAGCTTCTAGCAGAGGATCGAACTATTGAGCATCGACTGGTCAACCACGCATGTGTCGCAGAGAAACCCCTAGCCACTGCGCCACATGCGCCCCGGCGGAAAATATCGCGCTCCAATCGAACGTCGACTGAGCATTAGCGTAGGTGAATCGTCCGGGGGTCGATAGTGAGTTCCGCGCGGCGCCGGACACGCTGAGCGGGCGGGCGGGCGGGCGGCGGCCCCGTTGGTCCTCTTGTAGTTCTGTCGTTCTCCATTTGTTTACTTGTTTACTTGTTTGTTTGTTTATTTTTGTTCATTATTTACTGCTCTTATTGATCTATCGATCGAAACACGTGCTGTTGTCTTGGATCGATGCGCGATGTCCTCTCTCTTGCCTCGGGATCCGAGTGTTTTTCCTCATCGAGCCTCCCACCTCCGTCGAAAAATGCGATTAACAACAATCGAATGTACCATGGTTTTCCTATTGTCAATCATCAGTACTTACGTATATCTGAGGGTTAATAAAGGGTTAATCGTTCATAATTTCACCACTATACCATAATTTAATTCCCAAGGACCAGACGAACCCCAGCGATTCGTTTGAAAAATTGGCTCAGTTCTAGCGGATGACAGTCTATTGATTTTTAAGGAATGTTTTCATTCACAAATAAGATAATGAAAATTTAGTACTAGAAAATAATATTAACAATAATTTATAGTAAATAACTTAGTAATGAGTGGTAGTGGTAATAGAATAATTTTAAGCAATAATAAAATAATAAATAAGTAAAAAGATAAAATGAATAGAATGAAATAAAGTGAATCAATTCTGACCTAAGAGAATAGAGTGCTCAACAAAAATTCGACCTCAGCTGAGCATCGAACCCGCGGTTCACCTACACGGAGTGGCGCGTGCTACCACTGCGCCACAGGGCCCACCGCTCTGTCTATCACTCTTTCTTTGATATGAACTATCGTAGCAACGAGCCACTAATGTCTAACAGGTGCTTGTTCGGATGAGCACATATCGCTAAAAATCCTGTAAAGCTGACGGCCATTGTGCATTCATAAGTCTTAAGATTTCTCAGTGTTGTTAAGTGATGTGCAAAAGTTTGACGTCAGGCGAGACTCGAACCCGCATTTCACGCATATGGTGGATTTCCGTTAACGGTTGGTTGCTGATAGATTGAGGAGTTGTAGCGTAGAAAGAGCGGTAGCAAAACAGGCGCCGGTAGCGCTGCGGGTCAGAGCGCGCTGCAGCGGAAAGACTGGAATGCGGGTTCGAGTTCCCGCTTCACGTCAGAAATTTTGCACATTAGTCAGCATCATCGGGTATATTTGTGGCATTATTTTAACCACTAAAAGCGGTAAAAATAATAGGCATTTTCAAGATCTCTTTTTGTTTTTTCTGCTTTTTCGCAGTGTTATGATGACGGATGAGATATAATTTACAATCCATAGGGTGTTTTTTATTTATTTTTTTAGCTCTTTTAGCCAATTTTTAGGGTCCTAACTATTTATGGAAAAATTCTGAGTGGTACGTAAAACTCCGGACCAAAAATTTTGACTTGATGGTTTCAAATTTTTGAGCGATTGAGCGAAAAGATCCAAATGTTACAACTCGGAGTTCGTTGCTTGAATGTTTTTTCAGTTGCGGCATAGTGTCTCTACTTTGGTTTGTTTTTCTTCTGTAAAAATAGCAACTATGTAACAGAATCAGGGCAACAGCCCCGGTAGTGCAGTGGGTAGTACGCGCGCCTTGAGAAGGGCGATACGCGGGTTCAACTCCTGCCCGCGAGGTTCAGCTTCTACATGTCGCACACAACATCATTGCTGATTTAGTTAGGACTTATAAAAGTGACTCACGTTATAAAGGATAAAGGATAAAGCTCTCGGCGTTGATCGATCCCTGAGGGATGCGCCATGCATTCGACTTCAATTTTTAACTTCGTTTGAGGTGATTGAATGCACATCTGGCCTTTACAATGACTCGAGGTGGCCTCCCGCTGAACCGAGTCAGTGCTGCTTATCCTCCCAAGACGAGTCCGAGACCTTTCTGGTACCAATTTACCGACCCTGGAGGGATGGATGGCTTGGTGAGCCATGAGCGCGAGATCGAACCTCGTGTGCGACGCAGGCACCTCTAACCACTGCGCCACACGCGCTCTCGACTCACGTTATAGCATTCGAAAATGTTTAGTCATATCTAATAAATGAGCTCTGAGACATTGCAGAGAGGTGGGTCAGGGCTCAGGATTAATCAGGCTTTGATTTTCAATACCTATTTATTGGCAAGATGGCTGTGATCTCTGGTAATCAATACCCTATCAACTAGCAGGTAGCGGATCAATAAACCTAAGAGGCCCTGCTATCTTCTAATTATCGATTATTTTGCTTTTTTTCGGGTAGTATGAGAAATCTTCGAAGAATTCGTGTGATTCTAAGGAGAGACTACTCTCTTGATACGTTGCTATCGTGAGATAGTTTATATCAGCAAAGTACTAGTTGCGCGTACTATATTTGA